CTTCATTGGTCAGTCTGCATGAGACTGACTCTCAACTGACGTTCAGTCATAGGCAGCGAAGCGTCTCTGTGCAGCGCAAAATCCCGGGCGGACAGTTTGTTTAATACAGGGTGATCATATTTCCATTTCCAAACAAGAGGACAGGGGATCTGTGCCTATGATGTCACACTATGGCAACGCCACACAAACCATGTTGGGACCCATTTTTTGTAAGAACTAAATTGATATCAGATTCTGCCAATAAAAGGGCTCTAAAACAATTCATATGTAAATATTTTGCATATTTAATGCAAAATCTCATTTTTCTGCTTTAGTGCTGCAACAAGGTTTTATTAATAATAAATTATTATACCTTTTGTTTTACTACAGCATCGGTACGCTTCCTGTGCACTGATTATTAAGGATGCTTGTTTCAGCTGTGAGATTAGACGATAGGATCAATGAGAACATAAGTTGTCACACACTCCATGGAAACTTTCAGAGAATCCACAAATAGTGGCTTTCAAATGGTTTTGTTACTTTTTGCAAGTTTAGAAAAGCAGCAGATGAGACAGCATGTCTGATAATTTAGTTCCTCATCTGATAATATTAGAACATGTCAGTAATGTCTGAGGGGCTTTTATAAACACTGTATAACTAACACTACTGGAGAGGGTGTGAATTACACAGAGGCTTCTGGGGAGCCCAGTTATTGGGGGGGGGGGGGGGTTGGGGCATTTTGCCTTGGCCCCCAAAATGTCTTGAAACGGCCCTGGGTGTGTGACCGAGTTTTGAAGGTGACCTGAATTGTATCAGATGTATAAATATTACATGTGTATAACTTATTGTTTTATACAAGTAAAAATGTGTAGTGTAGATAAATCTACCTACATTTTACTTTTCAACACTTTGTTTTGTTTTCTTGTTTTTATTTTTCCTGTCCTGTGTCTCTCATCTTCTTGCATGTCCTCTTAATTCTCCAGAAAATCTGTTGCCTGGATTCTTACTTTTTCACCTCAGCAGTTACTTTTGAGCAGATCAAAGGGATCTCCTGACCGCAAAGTGCAGAGCGCGTTTTCGATGCTGCGTGAGGTGAAATCACCGCAGTGCAGGTGATGAGCTCTGCAGTAGCAAAGAGCTTCAGGCACAAATAAGACAGAAAATAGAGAACATGTGCAGACATGAACGATCGTGTGCTAATTATAGTTTTTTGGTTGCGCCACTTTGAGAATGGACCGTGTGCTGGAAGCAGCTGCCTGGATCGCTGTGCAACAATGCGCTGTGCCGCTCTCTGCTCAAAAGAGTCCAAAAATGATATAATATAGGTAGAAAACTTTTTTCCGGCTCCCCTGGATGTGTAGGATATACAGCTCCCCCATAATTCGATCCCTGCTTCTGGATGAAAAGCCGGACATTTTCATCAATACAAGAACTCGCAGTCCGGACGCGCCGGACAGAGAGTGAAAAGTGGACACGTCCGGGGAAAACGGACCACCATAGTCCTCATAAAGCGGGAAATTATAGATACAGTATTTTGCTCGTGCCCTGGGCCCTTTAGAGTTCGTGGGCCCTGGGCAATTGCCCAGTTGCCCTTATGGTTAATCCGGCCTTGTCTGCAGTGATGCGGGCGTTGTACTGGTCCGTCGTGTTGGAGAGAGCTGAGCCAGAAGGCACAGCTCTAGATTTACCGGCTGATCAACATTACTACTCTCATATATGATCATGAGCTTTGGGTAGTGACCAAAAAAATGAGATTGCGGACACAAACTGCCTTAATTAGTTTTCGTAGCAGGGGGCTGAGATTGGGTGAGAAGCTCGGTCATCCGGGAGGGGCTCGGAGTAGACCAGCCAGTTGAGGTGGCTCGGGCATCTGATAAATATGCCTCCTGGACGTCTCCATGGTGAGGTTTTCCAGGCATGTCCAACCGGGAGAAGGCCTACAGGAAGACCTAGGACACACTGGAGAGACTATGTCTCTCATCTGGCCAGGGAATGCCTTAGGATTCCCTGGAGGAGCTGGCCCAAGTGGCTGGGGAGAGGGAAGTCTGGGCCTACCTGCTTAGGCTACTGCCCGGCCCGCGCAACCCAACCCCGATAAGCGGCCAAAAATGGATGGACGGATTGATGGACCTCATTCCTGATTAGGCTAAGATCTCAGATCCAAAAAGGGGAAATGAGATTCCTTCATATGGTGGTCAGGATCAGCTTCAGCGATATGGTTAAACAAAATTAGGCAGGTGCATAAAGTTGGGCACTATTGTCATTTTATTAATTCCAAAACCTTTAGAACTAATTATTAGAACTCAAAATCATTTTGGTATGCTCAGTGACCCTTGACCTCCATACATAGGTGAATCCAATTATGAGAGAGGGGGCCAATTGTAAGTTTGCCTCCTATGAATATTCGATGAAAAGTAGCAACATGGAGGTCTCCAAACAATTCTAAAAATAATCTGAAAACAAAGGGGAAGGATACATAAAGCTGTCTCAGAGATGTCAGCTGTCTGTTTCCACAAAGTTCAAGTTAAGGTTTGAAGTTGCAGACCAAGAAAAAGAGATTGCAAGTCTTCAAAGTATCCTGCTCACCGATCCACAAAGTCCCAAGTGCAGGTCAGCAGCACACCGTCTGTAAACAGTGGTGGTCACACACTGCTTTCAGAGCAGCAGTGTGTGAACACCCAAGCTGCATTCCACTTGAACTACTGGTGCCTATCAGCTGCCTCTGGAGTCCCGCAGACCAAAAAGACCCAATGGGTCTCTTTCTTCAGCTTGACAGAATCCCTAACTGCTGGTGTCCACCAGCGGGTTTGATGGTTAACACCAGCTCCGGTCAGTCGTCTTGAAGCTTGGAACATGACCCACTCTGACTCAATGTACCCGCTTTCCTCAGACATGTTCGATATTCTGTCGGTGGTGGGAATTGAAGATCATTCTGACAGAAGATGCCACCCGATGTTCCCAGCAGACCCTCACACTACATTTAGACCTGCCAGATCTGATGTGGCATTGTAGTGGTCTGTAGGGGTGAAGAGAGAGCTGAGCCAGAAGCAAAGCTCTCGGTTTACCAGTAGATCTATGTTCCAACCCTTATCTATGATCACAGAAACGTTTAGATGCTGTGATTTCTGCAAAAGGAAGATCTACTGAATAATTGAGTTAATTTCTTTTTTGAAGTGCCCACATTTATGCACCTCCCTAATTCAGTATAAACAAATATTGCACGCATTCCTTTCACTTCTCAAACATCACTGTGTGTCTCCTATATGATATAATTAACTGATATTTTTTATTGTAACAACCAACGATTTATAAAGGAAAATCATGAAGATTAGCAAGGCCTCCCAAACTTTCATTTTCTGCTGTAAATACATTAAATGTGCGTTAAGTCAAAGTGGTTGACACTGACACATCTTGTTTTCTCAAACATTAAATACCAATAAAAACAAATTTATTTAATATAAATAATATTTAACCTCGTAATTTTTAGGAATTTGTACGACTGGATGCTCATTCCATTCAGATTACAAGACAGTGGTAAGGGAGTTACATTGGTCCTCCAGAGGTTTCATTAATAACGTGATTTGTTTGTCTGCACGTTGCAGCTGTTAACTAGCCTAGTGAACTAGACCAAATTCTTGCTTTACAAAGAATGGTCTAGGCATGCTCCATTGGAACCTCAGCAGCTCCTACCAGGACTCTGGCTAGCCAATCACAGCTCTCTAGAGGGGTTTCAAACATATAAAGAGCTGTGATTGGTCCATAATGGTGGGCCAATCATAGTGCTCTATCTGCTTAGTGAACAAATCACAGAGCTTTATCCGCTTTGTGGGCCAATCAGGGCACTCTATATGCCTGGTGGGTGGGATGATGCAACAGAGTGAAACAAGAGTACGTCACATTCTTTGTCCAGTGGAATGCGGAGATCATTTGAAAGACAACGGTAGAACCCGCCCCACAACCGAGAGCCGTCAATGGAGTGTTGCCAGACTAAATAATACATTTATTTAGTCTGGCTTGCCAGGCTAGCTGTTAACAGTATGTATGCATCAGATGCAATGTCAAAGCTATTGTGAGGTTTTTATTGAGAATAATTTTAATTGTCAGCTCTGTCACCAGTTTGGTATGCTTCTGTGAAGTTTATTTCCTGCTGCAAAAAATCACTCTGACCTTTTGCTCATTCTTCTATCATGTTGTCAAAAAAACATATGCTGATGCCTTTTAATGAGCATTTTTTATCTTATTTCTGTCTGTACAAAGGCTAAAAACAAACTGACTAATAATTTCACTGCAGCCATCAAAAGCATTCTATTGGGAAAACATAATTACTGCACAAAAATAATCCTGAAGAGTTGCATGCATGAATGATCCAACAATCTGCTTAAAATATGTAAATTCTTAAAAGCCTAAAAGAAACAGAACTTGCACCAAGATTCCCTGATTTTGATTGTTTGTAGGATTTTCTACAACACTCAAATTTGGATCTGTTCCAAAACTCAGCTGCAAGAAATCTAAAAGAGCTTTAAATCTTTAAAAAAAATTCAGTGGGTTAGATTTTCTTTGATTCGTTTAGTCATTTCTGTCCGACAGGTCCGTCTGAAAAAATTTGCATATTGTGACATGTAATGTACTGATAAACATTAGACTTTCATATATTTTAGATTCATTACACACAACTGAAGTAGTTCAAGCCTTTTATTGTTTCTAATATTGATGATTTTGGCATACAGCTCATGAAAACCCAAAATTCCTATCTAAAAAAAATTTGCATATCATGAAAAGGTTCTCTAAACGAGCTAATAACCTAATCATCTGCAGTAAAATACAATAAATTCGACCAGCTTCCTCTAATGATACTTTAGGTGTTTTACCTGGAAGCAGAGGACATTGTTTATATTTTATTTGCACAATATCAACATTAGCCTAAATGTGACAATACGTTTTCATGTCTGTTCCTTCCAGTTAAAAGATTTAAGTGCTAGCTTTGGCTATTAGTCAACAATTCCCTTTTTTTTTTGTTCCAGCTTTTAGCTCAGCCATCCATTCTCTGGATGGAGCAACACAGCGGAGCGATTTTGTCTCCATCCTCAAGGAGTTTGGGAATCACTACGTGCAGGAGGCAGTGTACGGCTTCCAGGAGTCCTGCACCATCTGGTACCCCAACAAGCTGGTTCAGAGACAGCTGTGGCTTGAGTACCAGGACATTAGCAAAGGTAGGAAAAGCAAACTCATGTCCTGATAGTTGATGTGATGGATGTTTTATAGGTGTTCTAGTGCATAGATGTGTCGGTGTTAATAGTAAAGTAACTGCTATCATTTACTGAAAAAAATATTGATCAAACACCTGTTTGGTTTCATTTCTATTTTTATAACCACTGATCTCAATCATGGTCTTTTCCCCATGAACATCTGCCCCATATCATTCAAAGTCTTCCTTAGAAACGGATAAGTTAGGGAAAAATTTGGATCCTATAAAGTTTCTTTTTCATTTTATGCAAGTATGACAATTGAAAAACAACACAGCGGTGTATCGTCACCAGTGATGCACCGATATGAAATTTTTGGGCTGATACCGATATCCTATATAAAGATCACTGTTATGGCCGATAACCGATGTTTGCCGATACCAATATGCTGACATTAAGGCTTCTAAAATCGGCAGATCTTGTATAGAACGAAAGTTATTGAAGCTGAATTTACGTTATTATGTACACACAACACACACATTTACGCTTCTGAGATGATTTCATTCACTGTTCACATGACAAAACAAATACACATCACTCCCCTCACCCTCTGAAACAGGCAAACAAATGGAGACAACATGGAAAAAATATTGGTTGTTAAAATCGGCCCAGTTTTATTTATCAAACCGATACGATATGTTAAAAAATGACTAACATCGGCCGGTACCGATATTGATGCCAATATATTGCCCATCCCTAATTGTCACTGTGTGCTTTGTGATCAACCATCATCGAGCCTGAATCAGCCACACTAAACTGAACAGTGCTAGATGTTTTCCACCAGTCAAACAAGCCTTGTCTCAGCTTTTTGAGCAGTCATACTTCGTTTCTCAACTTGTTTTTTGGTAACTCACATCTGTGATGGGTAATAAATAACTCATCTCTCCTGGCCGCTTCACCTCAGTGCCTCCAAAATGTTCTCTGTCCGTTTGCTGTTTTCATCCCGGCCACTTTTGCTCCGTTTGCTTTTCTTTGTCTAAAGGCGACCTGCTCCGTGTTGATCTGCTGGCTCTGAGTTACCTCTGTGATGACTGATGACTTGTTTTTTACAAGCATACTCACACAAACTCATTCATCTTTCCTTTTGGCCTCCCTTTCACACATCTGATAGAAATGATCCAAAATCACTTAACACGGGAGTTTAAAATGAAAGCAATACAATATTTCTAGATGAATGAAATGTCATAATCCTTTTTGTAATTCTCAAGAACATCACAGAATTTGTAAAGTAGATGAATGATTACTTGATTTTGTGTGTTTTTATCATACTTATGCATTTACTGCTGGTGCAGTTGGGAGCACTGTTGTCTTGCTGCAGAAAAGGTTGCAGGATCATATCTCGGCTGTGTCCTTTCTGTGCAGATTTGGCATGTTCAGACATGCCAATGCATATATGGTTAATACCGTAAATCCCTTTGGTTAAATATGTGTGCAAAACGAATGCATTTAAATTAAGCTTATATTTTATAGAAATGTTGCAAAGCACAGATACTGACAAAACACAAATTTTTAAAGCATGCATTTTTTAACATGTCTGCTTTACTTTGAAATACATACAGAATAATTTTATGGAACTAAAATGTAATTGATAAAGAACTTCAGAAAAATAAGAGGTGATGGTCCCATGTTTTGGGTGGTTCAGTCCAAAGCAGCATTTTAACAGTTTGCTTTGTTAAACGAACACATTTATTGAGACAAAGACTTTTTTTGACTGTTAATCAAACTAAATAGAACAAATTAAAGCTTGTCTAATATTATAATCCCAGGAGTGCATGATATCCAATTTTTTTTTAATTGTTAAAAAAATACCTGAATATTTGCATTCCGTCATGCAGATTATATGGACATTAAATGAGGGCTGGTGCATTTGCTCTCGGTGACAATAATTGGGAGTTAAAAGAAATTTTTGTTCTCAGACAAGGAAAACCTAACAAGAAGAAATATAATCAGGCAAATATTATACATAATTTTGAATTTTATTAAATGATAAGCTGCAGTGACTGTTAAATATTGAAATGCAACTAAATAGTTGGACAAAAACACAATAGCTTCAGATTTAGGTCATGTACAACTGTTTTTCTGAACAGGTGCTAAATTCAGTCAGAATTCTTTTTTATGAGTCTGTCAAACTGAAATAAAGTGTTTACGCCTGGCTCTGAGGATCTGAAATGATTCCGTTGAAGTGGGTAACTGTTTCAGCTTGGCCCGGGACTATCCGTTTCTAGGAAAATAAATTGATTCCATTGGCAAAAACCTGAAATCAGAGTCATCTTTCTTAATCTCTTCCTGGCATCTTGGAAACATTCTGCCCTTTTGCTGATAGTAATGAGCTCACAGGAGAGTTTGATGATCCATGTCTTCACCCTTTGCTCCAAATACGAGATGAGTGCTACCTTCCTCCATATTCAGGGCGAGGTCTGGCCTGACTGCACTCCACTTGTCTGCTGATTTGGTCACAGCTGCTGCTGCTAGTGGGTTTTATAGGAGCAATATGTAAGCATTCTACAGTGAAATGGTCACAAAACAGTCTAATGTCTCAATTATAATAATAATTATGGATTTAATTTATTTATCCTTTAAAAAACAGAAGAGGGAAGTAATTAATATGTTCAATCAGTAAGTTTGTGAGGTTGCCGTGTCCCTGGCAAGCTAACGCTGCTGCTCGAGCATTTGTAATTTGACACTGGCCAGCAAAAACTCCAGAGTTGTTTAACGAATCAAAGCCAGCAAACAGGAGAAACCCAAAAGTTATTTATTGTACCCCTAAGAAGCCACGGCATCTTTTTGTTTCACTCAAATATTGGGTGTAGAAGGCTAGAGGCTAACGTTGAGCTAACAATGCTAATGGTGAATTAGAAACTCCAAAAATATTCTCAAGCTACCTTTTAAGTTACCAACAACTCAATATTACAGTAAAATGAATGTGTGACATGAATAATGAGTCAATAATGAATGTTTTATGTTACACCCCTCTATGGGCTCAGCTAGGAAGGTGAGGGGAATAAACATAAGATGGACCAGTCTAACAAAAAGTGACCCTCGTTGGGGAGGAAAAGGCTTGACCAAGCAAAACCAAACTCAAAGTGTCCTTGTAATTTCCAAGGTTTTATTACAAAAATGAAAGAACCAAAAGAAGGGCCAAAAAACCCTTACCTAGGACTTAACTAAGTTATCTTTAATTAACTGAAAATGTCCAGAGGACCAACCACTCTAAATCCTAAATCCTAAATAAATTTCCTTTAGTTAAAAAAAAGGGGATGAAACTCAAAAGGGGAAAAATCTCACCCTTAAATTAAATAAGGTTTGTCTAAAAGACAAACAAATACTGAATTAACTGAAGTTACTCAAACAACAAAAATAGCTCAGGAAACTGAGACTTCAAAAGGGGAAGAATCCCCACCTGGTAATTTACCACAAGGTGGTCTAGCAGACACACCAAAACCAAGAACTACCGCTTAACTGCGAATATCCCAAACAACAAAAGGTTCTAAAGCTGCTTCTTCACAAGAAGCAAACCACAACCTGGTATTAACCACAATATCTCTGGTAACCGCCAACGGGGAGACACACGTTGCCTCTGCAACTCCAAACATTTCTCTCCCCTGATGAGCTACAGCTGGCCGCTTTTAAAGGGCCGGCTGATGAGATGAGAAGCCCCGGCTGGCCGACTGCCGCTCCGGCACTGTCCATGGTCCTGAATGAAGGACAGCGTTCCCAAGGCGTAGCTGTCCGTGGTGCTGCGCTGCTGCACAGGGAACGGCGCGGAGCACACCACTGGGCTTCAAAACGGCTGCGGCCGTAACATTTACTTTCTGAGTCGTTCAGAACTATAACAGCTAGGTAACAATAACAAGAGCCTAAAATTCCTCCCCTACCAGTTGGCTCATGGGTCCTCGAAACAAAGAAAAAATGAATTCAAGTCAATGGGGCTAAAAGAGCTACTTTCATACTTCAATCCAAATTAACAATGTGTGTTACAACTGTATCCATCACATAATTTGATAATTATTAGCTTGTAAAATGTTTTAAATAAAATGACCACACATCAGGCGTTGCGTATGTGACGTAACCACAGAATCTCCTCTCCCCAGCGCAGCGTGCTACTTACCACATGGCCAGATTTATAGTGGTTTTCTCCACGTTTAATGCCCCTTCGATCATCCTGGAAAATTTTGAAGCTGATAAACTCAGCCATTTTCTTCTCCTTGTCCGGTTCAATGGCATCAATATGGTGACCTGCATTTGTAGTTCTTTTCACACAAACCTAAAATAACTTTTGACATTGTTTGAAAATAGGTACTTTCTTGCCATCAAAATGTGTCTGATATCATATGTGAAGTCCATGGCACATTTCAAATGGGATCCAAAAATTGCTTTTATAGCCCCCATTGACTTGCATTCATTTTTTATTTCCAGGGACCTATGGTCCGGAAATAGATGGGCGTGACTTAGGCTCCCTATAAGACGGCAAACAACTACGCTTCCTCTAATGCTGGAGATATATTACTGTAATAAGTGTAGTAAGTGTTCCCTATCTTAAAACACCCAAGAGGGCTAATCTTAACTTACTGTGTATGTATTTGCTTATCGTCTAGAACAGGGATTCCCTAAGTGTGGTGCACGCACTCCTGGGGGTGCGCGAGCTGCCTCTAGGGGGTGTGCGAGGTGAAAAGTGGAATGGCTGCGGAAATTAGAGAAGTCTGTCATATGTCACCATTAGCGTAGCCAGAAACTCATTTGTGGGTGAGCCTAAGAAAAAGTAAGTGGGCCCAATAAATGTAATTGAAAACAAGTATATTTTGCTTGCGTGTGTGTGTGTGTGTGTGTGTGTGTGTGTGTGTGTGTGTGTGTGTGTGTGTGTCCTCCGCATGTGCCCTAGCTTCATAATAATGCGCCGAGCTTCAGCGCACTGACCTGCGCATGCTGTCAACAGCAAGATATGCTCCGTATTTGATTATTTTTAACGA